CATTCAGACCCAACAAAAGCTCTCTGACCATCTCTTTTGTTATCTCCTCCCTCAGCTTGCCCCCCTTCCTTATCCAGATAATCCCTATTAGGTGTCTGGCTGCAGCTTAATTTTTTTTTCATGAAGACTGAGGCAAAATAGCTGTTGAGTAGATCTGCCTGCTTTGCATCTTCTGTTAGGAGTTTCCTTCTGACTTCTTAACAAGGGACCCACAGCTTCCTTTGTCCTTCTTTTCTGGCCAGCATACTTTATAGAACTTTTGTTGTTGTTGTCCTTGATCTCCTTCACCAGGTGTAGCTTGTTCTTTATCTTTACTTTCCTGATTTTTGTCTCTGCAGGTTCTTGCTGTTTCCTGGTAGCTTTCTTGGTGACCTGCCCATTATTCTATTGCTTGTATGCTTTCCTTCTGCATTTGAGGCATTTTAGAAGCTCCTTGTGCAGCCATATTGGTCTCTTGCAATTCTTCTTGTTTTTCCATCATGTTGGGACAGTTTCTTGTTGAGCTTCCAATACTGTGCCCTTTAGAAGCTCCCAGTCCTCCTAGGTGCCTTTATCCTTCAATCTATCCTCCCCTGACACCATGCCTATTAACTCCTTGAGTCAGATGAAATCTGCCTTTTTGAAATCTAGCATCCTAATTTTGCTAACCTCATGCTTTGCCTGGCTCAGGATCTGGGATTCTGTCATATTGTGATTGTTTCCTCTCAAGTTACCCATCACCTTTACATCCTTTACCATTTTCCCTGTTGGTCAGGACAAGATCCAAGATAGATGATCCCCTAGTTGTATCTTCCACTTTCTGGAAGAGAAAGTTGTCCTCCACATGAGTTAGGAACTGGCTTGGCATTTTTTGTTTGTTGCATTATTCTTCCAGCAGATGTCCAGAAAACTGATATCTCCCACCAGTACTATCCCATAGCATTTTGGATAGATTTGTCACATGCTTGAAGAGTTCCTCATCCACCTCCTCTTCCTGATTTGGTTGCCTATAATAACTTCCCACCATTATTTTTATGCTGCGTCTTTCACCTTTCATCTTCACCCAGATGCATTCTTCTTTGCTGTTGTTTCCCTCCTGAACCAGGGAACAAGTATATGTGCTTTTGACAGAGGCAGCACCACCACATTTCTCCCAGCCCTGTTTGTCTGAAGCAGAGTGTAACCTGTGATGTTGACATTCTTGTCATAAGAGTGGTCCCACCAGGTCTCTGTGATGCCAATCAGACCATGGTTCTTTTCACAGGCTGCAGCTTCCAGTTCATCTTGTTTATTCCCCATACTTCTCTCATCTGTATGCATGCATTGGGTATATTTTGCATTTTGACCTACTTGCTTTGCTTTTGCTCTACTTTTGCAGTCGTATAGCTTTCTGGCCCTTTCCCAGACTTAATTTGTTTCTTTGAGTCCTTTTCCCCTCTTGACTGTGCACTCTGTTGCTGGAGGGTTTTGATCACCATCCCCTGTGGAACGTAGTTTAAAGCTTTCCTTACTGGGATGGCCAAGTGACGTCCAAAAATGCTTTTCCCCATTCTCGTCAGATGGATCCCATCTCTTTATAGCAGTCCTCCTCCCAAGAGCATTTGTCTGTTGTCAAGGAAGCTGAAGCCTTCATGTCAACACCACTGTCCCAGCCATGCATTCACTTCCAGGATATGATGGCCTCTGCCTGAACCCTTGCCTTCCACAGGAAGAATTGATGAAAACACCACTTGTGCTCCAAGATCCTTAATCCTCTTGCCAAGAGCCTTATAATCACCTCTGATCTGCTCAGTATCATTCCTGGCAGTATCATTGATGCCTACATGGACAAGCAGGAAGGGGTTGGATGAACTTTAGCAGTCTCTCTATGACATAGTTTCTCAACCTGTGGTATGCGTACCCCTGGGGGTACACGAGACACAGGCAGGGGGTATGTGGGTACCCCAGCACTCTGTCTCTTTCATCTTCTTTTCCCCTCTCTCTCACCCCTTCCTCCTCTCAAAACTATGGCAAAAATTTGGTGAAATTAAAAAAAAAAAAATTAATTCCCCAGTAATTCCGCCCTCCTAGCTTTGGCCAACACCACCTCTAGCTCAGGTACATACTTGAGTTGTGCACCCCTGGTGTAAAAGGTGGTAACCCTACCAGCACCAGATCAGACATCTGTCATATCATGGCGTTATATACACAGCCCTTCTTCCAACAGGGTCAGGAGCACTTCATGTGCACATATTCGTCTATAAATATAAAATCCCCTGGAAAATTGAGTGTTGGGGTACTTATTCAAATTTCCAGAAGTTAGGGGGTACTTACTACTTAAAAGGTTGAGAAACACTGCTCTATGACATCCTGAATTTGGGCTCTAGGCAGGCAGCACACCTTCTGGCGCCCCAAATCTAGAAGACAAATGATGCCTCTGTCTCCTACATAAGGGCATCACCAGCCATCACCACTCTTCCCTTCCTTCATGGTGCAATGGTCCTTGGGGCCTTGTACTTTCTGCTATCCTAGGCTGCTACCTCCTATGCCTGCAGATGTCCTTGTCTACCTTTTCCTCAGCAGTTCCATTGCAGAGTGCTTGAAAGCGGTTGCTGACTTCAGTCTGCTGCTCTTCAATTTTGGGGGACCCTCTTTTGAGTAGTTACATGCTGCCACTTCTCCTTATTGCCCTTTGGCCTCTCCAGTACCAGCCTCTCATAACTCTTGTTCAAGTAATCTTCCTGGTCCCTGATGCAGTGCAGCTTGGATACCCGTGCTTCCAATCTTTGAATCTTCTCCTCCAGGAAAGACATCAGTTTACACTTGGTGCAGATGAGTGCTCCCGACCTTCTGGGAAGAACACCAACACAGCACATCCCACACAGGTCACAACAGCTGACTCCCAGACTCCATTTGTGTCTCCTTTGCTGCCTGGAGACCACCTAGGCTGTATGGGCAGGGGGGAGAAGGGGAGAGGAGAAAAGTCATACTACAAGAACCTGCAGACCAAACATCTGCAGCATGGCCCTTGTACATGTTCATACACACAGAATCTCCTGTTCCCTGGCTCGCTCCTACCAGGAAGTCCCTAAGCCAGCAGTTGTCAACCAGGGGCATGCATACCCCCCTAGGGTACTTGAGAAGGCCCTAGGGGGAACACATGGGCAGGCAGGGTCAGGCTGGACGTCGGGGGCAGAGGAAGCTCATACCTGGGGGCTGCCGCTGCTCCACATTCAACTGCATGCCACCTTCTCTCAGGTCTGCATCCGGTCACTGGGGGTATGCTGATCCAAAAAGAATGAAAACCCCTGCCCTTAGCAAACTCCCTCTCTGTTTGCTGCTCTCTGTTCCCTGCTCAAACTGGTTTGTTGGAGGCTGGCTGTGTATCTTAACTTTACTCCTCAGTTACCTAAATTAGCCCCATCCAGAGCAAGGCCTGTCACTCAGTTATTCCAGAGGGGAGAAGCAAAGAAAAGGAAGAAATAGCCAATAGATGAAAGACTGAGAATTAAAGCTTGCTTAAACACACTATTCACTTCTATCTGATGTCAGTAGTGATGAACACTTTCCTTCCCTGCTCCCTATGGAAGGACTTAAATGTGTGGCTTTCATCAGCCCATCGCTATTTGTACCAGCCTGGAAGCAAAAGTCTGGGCCAGTTTTTAGGAGAAATGCATATTATGTACTATAAAGAAGCCCCTCTCAACCCAGACACATCTTTATCCTTTTGAAGATGGTGGTGTTTGAATTGTTTCTTAATAAGGTACTCTGAATTGAGTTGTAAACATCTGTGTGTGGTTTTCTTCTGCATCTGATCAGCTTCCACACAAAACAGTAGTGGAGTCTCTAGTGGATTATTTTCAGGGGTCTCTGGCTTTCCTGTTTTGGGGGTAAAACTTTTGCTTGGGATTAGGGACTTATATTTTGATTATTTTTCTTCCTTTTGTTGTTTGGGCTAGCAGGGGGTTATTTGGAGGAAGTGGACGTCTGTGTTGGCTGATTGGTGGCCTTCAAGGGGAAAACTTGCTTTGCTGTGGACTTTCTGGTCAGCATCCTCCCAGGGAAACGTGTGCATAATCCATTCTGAGCAGAACAGCCAAAAAGCTTTGTGTTAAAAGCTCTATTAAATTTTACCCGTAGCCTTCAATTGCCCATCCATTGGTTACAATTATTACTATACAGGCGATGATAGCAGTTCTCTTTGATCTTTACCAGGCTTGCATCTCTTGCTCCCCTGTGAGTGTTAGCTAACCTGACATCCACAATTCCACCTATTTGGGAGACATGCAAGGCAGTGCTATGGACTCTTGTACTTCTATGCACCCTTATTGTTTATGCAGCCTTGCTGATCTACCCCAGAGTGGATTGGTGTTGATGAATCTATTTTCTGGGTCAAATTCTTCATCTCTCTTGCCATTAAACTGTCTGCAGTATTTCATTACTCAAACTGCTTCTGCTTGCAGAAATCCATTGTCCTATTTCTTTATTACTTCTGTGACTCAGGCATAATATTTCCATGATTCTTACTAATTTCAAAACTGCAGGTTGCAATTTCCCTTTAAACTAGTAGCAATTAGTAGTTAATCTTTTTGCTCAGGCCTCCTTGGAATCTCAGACTCCTAGGACCGAGGTCAGCTATTATTTGTACCTTATGGTAAGGCAAAAACACTTGCCAATAAAATACTCATCCAAAAGGTGTGTCACTTATAATAAAAACTTGCCCTCCTACATACCTTCCCTCAGAGTTAGGGCTTTATGCTTTCAACTCTTGGCCTCAAAAAATGGGCCTGGTTCTTGGAGACAGTGCGGGGCCTGGTACATTTATCAGGGCAACGTGAGCATGGCCTGTTGGTAAGATGGTTTAATGATATCTCTTGAGCTAAATGAGTTTTTGCCAGGCATTCCATGGGATAATTAGAATTTGAGGACAAGTATCCCAGGTAAGTTATTTTCTTTGTTCAGAACGGATAGCGTAAATAGCTTTATTTTAAGAAGTGTGTGCGCATGACTCTAAAATATACTCTCTTTTTGTTTTTTTGCAGGAGCTATTGGTTACATGGGAACAAGTGCCTTTGTTCGTAAAATCTACACTAATGTGAAAATTGACTAAGGAAATAAGAAAATTGAACTATGGATCAGTTACTGTTTTCACGGGAATGGACTTGCACAGCAACAAGCGCAAGAAGAGATTTGGGTTTTAACACTGGGCACTGTATGGGTCTCCGTTCTGTGGATGGCTTAAAGTAACATCTATTTTCATTGATCCTAGGTTCTTACTGACTGCTTTCTCCAACTGTTCACAGCAAATGCTTGGATTATATGCAGTAGACATTACTACAGTACATGGCTAATCTTCCCAAAAAAAAAAAAAAAACTAGCTCATTAAAGATGAATAGACTAGCTCTCTTCAGTGAAGAGGACAAACGGTTTATTTAAAGCATTTGTTCCATTCAGTAAAAAGAGGGAAACTTGGCTGCTAAAACTATGATTAGTAGTCTTCCTGGTACTTAACATTTCTAAATTATCTAAAAATGCTGTTCCAGAAAGATTACTTTTCAGATTTTTACTGCCATTTTCAGGATAGAGGTATGTTTTATATTTTGACTCTGGGTGCTTTTTTGGTTCATTTGCAATATCAACTATACCTACACCCATTTGTTTAAAAAAATTAAAAATATTAAAAAAACTGCATGTAATATATCAGCTATCATTCTAGTTGGACCAACTTCCCTTTTATTTATCTCTAAAATGATATTCAGCTACATCTTAAATCCATCCAAAGAAAATAAGGCTGAAGACAGAGGTGTGTTCTCTGCAATGCAATTTACTGTACAGTTAGAAAGCAACATGTTAAATGAAGAGGATACTGTTTGTTTTTAATAAACATTTCGAGGTCTAGATTAAAACAAAACCAACATTTTAACTGAATGTCTAAAGTGATTCTCCTTTTTTCCAAGTTAGTCTTATTTTTTTGTTTGGGTTTGAATGAAGGGTTTTCCTTAAAACGTTATTAAAGGGGTAATAAGTGTATATAACATTAAATAATGTAACTTAGGTGTAGATCCCAAATGTATTTGGATGTACAGATTTACTACAGAGTACTTTTCTGATGATTCGGTGTACAAATGTGTGAATTTGGGTGGCTTTTTACATCTTGCCTGCCATTGCATGAAACGTTGGGGTTCCTTCACAATGTGTGTCATGCTTTCTGTTCTGTTTCCTTTCTGAAGCTCTTACAGGAGTTAAATTTGTAATTTAGAACATTTTAATTTTTTGTTTATTTGATCTGGACACTGATATAACACCAAAAGCACAGCTGCTTTGGGGTGTTCAGAAAACTAAAATAAACTTTTCAGACAAAAATATTCTGATTGTGAAAATAGATGAGTTTGCAGTTGAAAATGTCTGTTTAAAAAGGCAATGCTACTGAATGCCAGTGTCTGTGTACAGTATTACTGTGCTTTTCAAATATCAAAAACCCATGCTTCACAGTCAGAGAATTTGCTTGCATCTGGATTATACAGTCCAGTTCCAAAATGGATGGTCAGTCTAGAAAGGTCCTCCTTGGCTGGACTGTCGATAGGGAAATCTGTTTATTGATCCAGCAAGTGTACTTGGAAGATGGAGAGATGAGAAGACGACTAATATAAATGAGCAAATAAAGGTTAAGATTTTCTAAGACAAACGAGTGTTAATTGTGCAGTGTACTTAGCTAGGAGGAGTCTCAATGTGTTAAGTCTCTCATGGAAACAGATTTAAGACTTTAAGGGGCAATCAGCTTGGGAATTTTGACACCTGCTATATAGGGAAGTTTTCATAAACCTGTTTGGATCAGAGTATCTTCCCCCAGAAAATGCAACTTACTAAATCAAAAAAAAATTATAAGCAGCAGTATTTGCATTAATGAACCCTATATCTATCTAAAAATCATACCAATGTTGTACAGGGGTGTGAAATACATTTCTGCTTCTTGAAGAGGGAGACAGGCACTCATAAGGGATTGTGTTGTTTTGAGGTGTTTTTGGAAAATTTTGCATTCTGTTTGTATATATAATGTAAAGTATGTGACCTTAAAATGAGTGGAACAAAATAATTCTTCTGAATGGGGAAAATGCAACCAAATCTACAGGTGGAAGAGATCAAAATCCTGCATATTCACTTGAAATTTTACTCAATAAATGTGTATTGCGTATACACGTGCTCTGATATTTTTTGGCCATTTTAACTGATCTTTGCAGGAAAAGAATTAAGTTATATTTCAAGTGAATTGTCAGTTTTTGTAGATGAGCATATTACAGTTTGACACAAGATACTTCTCATTTAAAAGTACAGACCAACTATAATGGGAGCATAACGTGGTCAACAATTGTTTCTGCCTTTGTCTGACAATAATGTAGGATTTATACAGAGTGGGTTTTGTACTTGTTCCCGTTAGTAATTTTGCTAGTGCATACAACTGTCTGAAGCCTTCTGCTGTATATTCTAAACTTAAATAAGAAACCAGTATTTCCACCCGATAAATACATTTAGTACTCTGAGATGCAAAATTTTCAAAGGGAATATTTTGATAATGGATCTGTATCTGTGATTAGTTTATCAAAATGTCACAAAACCTTTTGTAAATTTCATTTAACCAGTTTTGTACCTGGATTTCTTAATGCTGCAGACTTGTGGTACATATTTCCTTTCTGTGTTTTCTGGCATCATCAGTGTAGATATTTTTTGTACTTCTGCAGTTTCCTGGGAATTGCCCCCTTCCACCACCGCTTCTATACAAGTGTAAAGTAGAAGTTATTTTGAATGTCTCGTCTTTGTCATGGTGGTTGACAGGTGCTACCATATTTTTCCGCTTACATCATATCCCCATATATAATACCTTGTTTATTAAGACATAGGGTGAAGAAAAAATTATTTTTCCTCAAAGAAACAGAGTACATTTTGGTCTCTTTTTATGCAAATTCATTTTGTGCAAATTCACTTATATGCAATGACTTATTTATACCAGTAATTCACTTTGTGCGAGAAAAATTTGATATTATGTGAAGAGGCATGCAACGCAGCTATACATGTAATATTGGATTCACTTTATGCAAGGTTTTTTTGGAATGCAGTCCTCGCATAAAGAGAGAACTGAGTGTTGCAGCAGCTAGGGAACTGAGCCTGCTCCTGAATCTGCACTAGCCCTTGTGCCAAATGAGGTCTGTGGACACACCCAGTTCACCACATCTGACCTGGTGTGCTGAGTTCAACCTGGCACACTGGGTCTGGAGCCATGTGTCAGCTCCGACCCTGCATGTGGGGCCATGTTACCTAGCCACGGGGGCTCCCCATGGGTCTGGATATTTGGCAGCAGGGGAGTGGTGGCAGTGTTAATTGCCATGGCTCCTAGAGCAGCAGCAATTAACACTGCTGCTGCTTCCCTCACCACCAAATTTCCAAATCAATGGGGATCAGGTTTTCTCGCATTTAATGTGCACCCCAGGTTTCACGAATTGGTTCTGGTTGAAAAGGGTGCAGGTTATATTTGAGAAAATGCGGTCTTTCCTAGCCAGCGTACACAACATCTTGGGTAATAGGATGTAGAACCTTTCTGCTTAGATAGTGTCTTCTTTTTTTGTACAAGAAATACACATCTTGCACCTACTACTTCTCCCATAGTCACTTGTCAGGAGTTTCCTTGAATTAGATTTTTTTAAGCCATCTGTTAATTTTAGAGTTTGATTGTACAGCACTTCTTTTCCCATTTTGTTACAGATGACATGTGAATTCACTAAATGAAGGGATAGCCAGTCTTGGCCAAATGTTTTAGATTAATACAAACCTGAATGGTTTGAATTTAGATGGGAATGTGAACAGAATGCAGCTGTAATACTTTGTTTACAAGAAAATGAAGAATGCTTAGCAAGAGAATGAATTAGGAATGATCCTCTCAAGGAGTATGTCATTCTTCAGGTGGATAAAGTATGCATGAAACTTGAGATTACTGTTACTACACTTGAAATTATTTGAATTTATGGTTGCAGAAGTGACTAATATTAATGGTACTTTCCTGAAAGCTTTTTTCTCTGTTCAGGAGCATCTCATTTTTGGTGGCAGATTTACATTTTACTGTTCTTATCAGCACTGTAGAGGTACAAAATAATGAAAATGAACTAGGTTCCAGTCTGGTTGTGGTATTGACAGTATCATTAGCCTGAGTTCATAACTGCAGGGTCAATGTGATGGGGTAGTATGCATATAACTGAGGTCAGCATTTGTTCTTCTAGAACTTGCTGTTATGGTGTATAAGCCAGAATAAACCAAGCTATTTTTTCACCCCTCCAGGGGCAAGGATTGTAGCCAGAGGAAATTAATGAAGATTTAAGTACACCTGAGCTCAAGTCAGTTCTCTTTCTGACTAGCTTCTTAAGGAATTCCTGCCAATATTCTGTGGTTCAGTGATAAGATCTGTAGAATAGACAAGGAACTTAAGCTAGAGCCATTTTTTATTATTAAGCTAAACTTGCTACAGTAGGATTTTCATCACTGCTACTGATTCAGCTGAACCAGAAGGGGTATCGGATAGGCCTGTGCGAAGCTGCTAGTATTCGCTTTGGATTCGGACAATTCGGGGGGGGGCAGTGATTCGATTTGGTGATTCAAATCACCGTCCTGATTCGATTCGGCCAAATCTGATTTGGAGATTCGGCTCCTGCCAAATCTCCGAATCAGCCAGGCCCATCCCCTGCCCCTCTCCTAGCTGGCCAATGGCTGCCCTGCCTGCCCCAGCTCCCAGAACTTATGTAAAAAACAAACACCCAACTCAGCAGGTGCTGCCAGGCAGGGGGCGATCCCCACGCTGTGTGAGGGGCTCTGCACGAGCCCCCTGACCCCCACCTCCCTCCCCAGCCCTCCCATGGCTGTCCCACCCACCATGGCTCTGGCCCTTTAAGAAAAAAAAGGAGAAAAACCCTGGACTCATTCCTGCCGGCAGGGACCGATCCCTGCTGCCTCCCACTGCCCCACACCATGTGGGGGGCTCTGCACAAGCCTCCCCAATGCACGGAGGCTGCTGCAGGAGTGGTGATTCCCAGGGCTTTTCTCTGTTGTTTTTTAAAGTACTGAGCTGGGAGGGGTGGGGGCAGCCATGGGGGTGGGGCTGGCAGGGGTCCCCCCATGGTACTTACCAGCTCAGAGTCTGACTGCAGCTCCCTGCTGTGGCCACTGGGGACTGCCCAAATCATCAAAGATCTCTGAATCTTTTCTGAAGATTTGGAGACCTTAGAATCAATTTGGACCTTTAAATTGGTCCCCTGATTCGATTCGGATTCAGAGATTCAGCCACCGAATCAGGCCAGATCTCCGAATTGAGTCACCACCTGAAGCTTTGCACAGCCCTAGTATCAGAGAAACATTTTCCTAACATAGTGCTTGAAGCATGAACATCATGCCATACTCACTGAAAGTGGACCTGCACTTCATCTTTAACACTTTTGAGTTTTGAAGTAATGCATCTTCATCCTTTGGGTAGCTCTTCTCCAAAAAGCTTTTCAGTTTCTGCACTTTTCCCAGCATAGGAGTGCAGATATGTCTTTCTGCACTGAACTCATTCACTTCCAGAGGAAACATGCATTTAAAAAATTGGACACCTTTTCTGGGAAGAAGCATGTAAAACCTAGAATAAACATTAGCAAGGTATTGCACCTGAATGAGTTATTTCATAGAATCATAGAAAAATAGGGCTGGAAGGTGACCTCAGGAGGTCATCTAGTCCAGTCTCCTGCTCAAAGCAGGGCCTCCACTCCCAACTATATTATACAACTGTATACAAGCCAGTGGTGCTCGACCTCCAGCCCACAAGCCAGATCTGGTCTATGGAACCATGTCATCTGACCTGCAGAGCTCCCTCCTGGGTCCAAAAATGTGGTGGTGGGGGAACAGTAAAGTTAACACTTCCACTGCCCCCCCCTCCCCTCCCCCATCCCAAAATTTCCAATCCCTGTGTGCCAGGTGACATGACTGTATGGACCAGATAGGGCCCTGGCCCACTCGTGTGGCCCATGGGGCTAAGAGGTTGAGCACCATTGAATAGGCCTTGGGTTCTCAACCTGGGCTTCCTTTTTTATGACGGCTGGAATTTATTTTAATTTTTTTCTCTACTTGTAAAGTGAGATTCTGGGACTGGAAAAAGTTGAGAACTTGCAGGTTTAAGCAATTGCAAGTTTTGCAGTAACTTGTGAAATGATGGTAGAGTGTTCTGATCAACTTGAATGGTTCCAATTATGCACACACAAGTCTAAACCATTCTAAAGAACAGAAACCCACATTGGGAGAGGACAAGAAAAACAGCCTTGCTCTTCTGGAGAGGTAGGATTGTTTAGTTGTCCATGTTGAATTAGTCTGCTGGATGCCAATTTGTCTTTAGTATTTAAAAGATTTCTATTTTAAAGGGCTTTTTAGTCTCCACGTACTAAGAATGGTGTAACACTTGGAAAGGGGAAGGGTTCATGTGTACCTAATGAAAGAGAAATTGTTACTTTCTGGTATTTGATCTAAAAGCTCTTGTTTGTAGGAACTGTAGCTAACTAACCAGCTTTTGGGAGTACCAGCAATGTAAAGACCACATATTGGATATCTAATTAAGTTCTACTCCTCTGTAACTTACTTTTTAAATAAAAATGATTTATGCCAATGGATGCTTTTCCTTTACATTCTAAACCAAAGGTTCATGTAAGAGTATTCAAGAGTTCATGTGAAATATTCAAGGAAGAACTGAACTTGAGGCTGCTTAGCACGGCTGCCAAAGGAAACGTGTATTGCATTTTTATAACAGCAGACTTCTGCTTGAGTAAAATATTGCTTACATTTTTACAAAAGAATTGTACTCCTATTTTGAGGGACTGAGTTGTCCATTGCAGTATGGCCCTTCTAGTTTACAACAGTATATTTTTTAAAAAGGCAAAAAGTATCAAACCTGTCAACTATGTGAGAAGCTGGTTAAAATGACAGGTTTTAAACATGCTTATGTTCTGTTGACTTTAAGTGAGTTACTAATAGGGAATAAAAGTAGATCGCCCAACGTTTTATACCTAACACTAGCTTAACAACATAGAACTGTGTTTTTAACAAAAATCCTGTTACTAATGTAAATGAAAATTTGAATTTGTAGAATCTGCCACACTGTTGAGGATGGTATTTAAAAATGTTCCTTGCAG